TGCAATGGCATGAGATTGCTTATTACAAAATTAGGGAATCATGTTGTTGAGGCAATTGTACTTACAGGAAGCAATTGAGGGGAAACTGTGTTAATCCCTAGAATGACGATGAGCCCATCGAGTCATACATTTCCTGTAAATTTCCAAAGAAGACAATTCTCCCTGATTGTATCGTTTGCCATGACTATCAACAAGAGTCAAGGACAATCACTTTCACATGTTGCAATTTATCTCCCTAAGCCTGTCTTCACTCATGGGTAATTATATGTGGCACTGTCTAGAGTAAAGAGTAAGCATGGATTGAAGATATTGATACTTGATGAAAATGGCTGCGTTAGGAATAGTACCCTTAATATAGTTTACAATGAAGTATTTCAAAGACTGCTATAGTATATTGGGTTCTTTCTTCAAAGATATAACTTCATTGTATGGTACAGGTAAAGACAAAAAAAATGACTGTTTATTCGCGTCTCTTTTCCTTATCTATCTTCAAAGATATGACCTTTATTATCCTATTTTCTTTCCTATTTTTAATGTAACAATGAATGACTGTTTTGTTATTTAAAAAATGACTGTTGGGACCTTTGAAATACTGACAAAATGAGTTCGGCCCAGAGGGCCGACCTACCATGCCAAACAAACCAATTTTTTTTTTTCGTGCATCGGCACAGGTAATTCACTAGTATATATATATATATATATATATATATATATATATATATATATATAAATATAGATATAGGCAAAATGATTTGTAACGTGACTGTATATAAACATTGGTGCAGTCATTTAAACACTACGTCTTTTTGGATGGGATAAAGAAAATTCGCGTTCAAAATTAATTGTAGAAAATAAAAATATTATATTTATTTCCACATTTGTATGGTTATGATTTCTCATATTTAATGCTTTATATTTATTTCCACCTTTATATGATTTTAATTCCCTATATATAATGCTTTCACACTATAAATCGACGTAATTTTATATGACTGCACTAATCCTTAGATGCAGCCATTGTGCATCCGCTAAACCCATATATATATATATATATATATATATATATATAAATATATATATATATAAATATATATATATATATATATGGGGACAGTTATACTTACCACCAGATAAGTTTACCACCCTTACAACCAATCTCCTGATCGTTAGATTAAAATTAAATCTAATGGTTCATAATTATCCCTTATAATTCCAATTTTTCTCTCTCATCCCCTATCTGTCTCTCTCTCTAGGTTTGGGAATCAATCCTAATTTTTTCTCTCTCATCCCCTCTCTGTCTCTCTCTAGGTTTGGGAATCAACAATCTCGTCCTCTCTTTATTGTTACAGTGCTTTAATCTTCAATTCCAGCAAAAATATGTTATATTATTTTGGTATGCTCATATGTTATATTATTTTGAAATCGATACCATTAAGATTAATAGTTGTTATATTATTTTGAAATCGATACAATTAAGGTTTGAGAATCGACGACACTGCTAACAAAATATGGCTAATCCTACTATTTCATCACAACCTTAAAGTAATCAATACAATTCCAGAAAGAAGTATATTCATTAATAGTTGTTAAGAATCCACAAAAATTAATAAAATAATTGATAAATTATCGACATCAACATCATGGACAGTAAAGAAAAAGAAAATGAGAAAATATGTATACAGGTGCCCTTTGCTTGAAATGTGTAGGGCCACCGGAGCATATCTATGATTCGCAAAGCTGGGTATAATTCGCATTGGAGGGTATTTTATAGACTTGTGTTGATTTGATGAGATATGTGATTAGAAAACCAATTTCATTGGAGAATCTCATCACCTAAAGGGTATTTTATAGACTAAGTCAAACCAATTTCATTAGAAAATGTCTAAAGCGCACAACAGTGGAATTAAAATCAGAGTTGTTACAGTGATTTGATATCTAAGTCAAACCAATTTCATTAGAAAATGTCTAAAGCGCACAACAGTGAAATTAAAATCAGAGTTGTTACAGTGATTTGATTTCAAAAGTGCACAACAGTGGAAGAGAGGATGAGAAAGGTGATTCCCAAACCTAGAAAGAGAAAGACAGAGAAAATATGAGAGCAAAAATTAGGATTATAAGGGATAATTATGAACCATTAGATTTAATTTTAATCTAACGGTTAGGAGATTGGTTGTAAAGGTGGTAAACTTACCTGGTGGTAAGTATAACCGTCCCCAATATTTCTTTAGAATCCAACAAGAGTGAATTGTTTCTTCTTTCTGATAAATGGTAAAATTTCATACGAGTTTGGATCTTAGTGAAATGTCCACTAGAGATAAAAAAAAATTGTTGAATACGAAATAAGAAGTTTCTTTTTACTTTTCAAGCAATTAGAAAATGAACTAGTTAATATATTCAAGAAAATTACGTATTTCATAATATCATCCTCAAATCATTCCATTTCATCATATTTAGCATGTGTTATGGTTTCAAAGGATAAAATAGACAATTCCAATCAAATTTTATTCTTCAACAAAATTCATTTATACTTCATCTATTCCATGATCGAAACAAGGAGTAATACATTTTACACCATGATTTTTAAATGTAATATAGATTTCAAGAAATGACAGATCTAATTACTCTATTAATAATTGAACCAAATCTAGTATATCATAAAGGATTTGTCTTTTCTATTGATTTCTACATACTCGATAAAAAATAATTCTTAAATGATGTATTCAACTAATTTATGAATACCAAAAATATAATTATATAGGTCCAACCTACATTTTTTGTGAAGAAAATGAATCTTTTTATCAAGGGCTCATGTAAAAAAGTGGTCCAGTCCTCTTGCAGGAATGATGTGGAATATCACTGTATTTGCTAGCAATAATGGAAGCAGTCACTCAATATAGGTTGATGAAATCTTATTCAAATCCAATATAGCACCAATGGGTACATTAGAAATGTATTGAATCTATTCTTTTTAAGAAATAAATTCAATCACATTAAATGTGGAATTGAAAGGTATATATATGAAATGATACTCTGAATCTTAGAACTCAATTAAGACAATAAACCAACATTTATCAAATTCTAAAAGGAGTCAGAAAAATGGTTTGATTCTCTTATTTTTATTTCTCAAATCGAGATATGCATGAATTGAGATCCTAAAGCATATAGAAACAAATGGGGAATAAGAATTTCCAAGAACATTTGGAACATTCTATTTTTTAGTTCAAGTCCCATTTTTTGTGATATTTCGATAAAAGGATTTATTCACTTCATAAAAAAGAGGATGTATAACCAATATTCTTTTATTCATCCTCGAAGTTGAATACCTCGTTCAAGAATTATTTCTAATCTAATTTGGTGAAATCAATAGAAAAGGAAAATCCCTTATGATACATGAGATGAACTCTGTTATTGATAGAAAGAATAGATTTGTCACTTCTTGATATATCTCTTATGACTCAAAATCATGGTGTAACATGTATCCTTGCTTGTTCCAATCACGGAATAGATGAAATAAACCCAAATAGATTTTTTTAGAACAGAATCTTATTGTACTCGTCCAATTCATCCATTTAAATTGTATCACATCCCAAATAGGATAAAATAGGATAACTTGAGACGATAAAGTACATAATTCCCTTGAATATGTTAAATATATCATCATTTTCCAATCACCTATAAAGAGCAAGAGAAATCTCTTATTCTTTCTTCAACAATTTCTAATCTAGAGTGCACCTCTTTGTAGGGTTTGAACCTAGATAAAGTTTTGACCAACTATAGAGCAAAAAGAACTATTATCTCTTTTATAATTCCATAAAATTGATTGATATCATCAAAATGCAAAATAAATATTAATCTTCTTCTCATGTTCCATGAATAAACGGTACATTGAGGAATATCCAAAAGGTATTTAATCACATCCCTACTGACACTTTCTTTTAACATTTAACCATAGCTTTTAACCTTTGGTCCCAAGAGGATACCCTATAAATACATATTTAAGCATCCTATCATTGAGTTTATTTTGTTTAGTATGAGCATATGCTAACAACCAAAAGATTTCAAGTAATTCAAGTTTAAAGGTTTGTTATTCCAAAGTTCCATTGAATTTTTGAATGAAATATAAAATGAGTGGGAACTATTAATCACATCACAAGTGTTTGAATTCCCTTAGCCCAAAACATCTTTTCATGGCCATATTCAAATAACATACATTTGACTTTATTTACAATAGTTCTATTCATTATTTTTTCTATCTTGTTTTCTTGAGGTGTTTCAACACTAACTTTGTCTTAAAATATCATACGCTTTGCAAAAAGCAAAAAATTGATTATTGAAAAATCGTAAGCTATTATTTTTTCTAAGAATCGCAATATATTTTTTTTCGTTTCTATTTCAACTTAGAAAGAAATTCCAGACCTTTCTCTATAGTAGGATTCTATAACAGATGGAAGTAATGACAGCCTGAAAGGAAACGAGAACATTATGAGAACTCCACATGTAAAAATGTATGTACTTAAGAACCCCTTCTATTTGATTTTTCCTTGTTATAAAACTCAATATATAGGATTACACATCTATCTTATTACAATTGAATCCACTGGGTTGTGGTTCCACCTTTTTAGGACTGTTTCCCATGACATGTCCTTCCTTATTACATAATTAGCATGTTATTTTCTCCCTTCGTTTGGTTTTTATTTTTGTTTGAGTTGTTATTCTTTCCTTTGCTATAAGACTCAGCCCATCTGAGGGACTTTTTATTGGAATTCATCTCAAGCTCCTTGGCCTAAGGGTTGACAACACATCCTTAAGTGATAAGGACTCTCTGTTATATTTAATGGAAGCTTTCACATAATTGAAGAAATTTGGTAAGGTATTTATTTGAATGATGGCTTGGTTTTCATAAGATATTAGCTAAATTAATAGGTTATTCTTTTAAATACATCCAAGTCATCATCTAAAGACCTACTTATGTCACATCTAAATCCTAACATTTTTTCTTTCAAGAGTATTTTATTAGACAACAATTTAGTTGTGAATAAAGACTCCAATTTAAGTCATACACTAGCATTTGTAATTTCATCATCAACTTACTTAAGCTGAAAAATCAACAAACTATGGCCAGTCTCAAATACATCAACTTTTTCATCAAGAGATAAGGTAAAGAGTAAGTCCTTATTACCACGAAGCGCTTTAGAACACATCTGTAGATCCCAAACAACTTTAACTTTTTCCTCAATTTATTGAAATTGCCTCTGCCATCAATTTTTGCCACTTCCACCATTGTTGAACCCATTTTGGATATTTCAAGAATTAAAGAACTAAGGCTCTGATAAAAATTGTTAGAGGTTTACATCGCAATAAACAAAATATCAAAGGAATAAGAATATTAAAAGAACACAATTAATCACTTGGTTTAGATTCTAATTATCTTGAATCCTACATCCAAGGATAAATGAGGTAAAATCTTGTAGCTTTTACACTAATCATGAACATAGATTAGATATTATAAATACAAGTTAGATTTACACTCAAAAACATGATAAACCCAAAAGTTAAAAACCATAATCCGCCCACAAATATATGCAAGGATAAGGATGACAAAAGAAAACCTAAGAGCAACTATTATAGGCTAGAAATACCTGGACAACCCAACCATAAGTGGAAAGAAATTGAGGTACTCTTCAAAGAAATATTTGATCCAAAACTCAAACAAACAACCAGCTTCACAAATAGGCACGAGCATACTCTTTGCCTAACAAAGGAAGAAAGTGACATAGAAAACTAGAACACAAGACATCAAAGAATAGTGTTTAGGAACGATAATGGGTTTTTTTGGAGAAGAAACCCTAGACAACATAAGGAACTTTAAAATGGAAAATAGACGATAAACGCACAATAATGAAAATGACGGGTTACAACCACATATAGAGAGGAATAAAAGATATCACAAAAACACTCGACATCACTTTAATTACGAAAAGACAAGTGGGTAACAAAACACAAATGGTCATAAAATAAAACGACGGTCAATTTTCAGAAATACACATCACAATAACAAATAAATTTATATATCAAGTTCATGCATTTGACTTAATAAAGAAGGCAAAGACTATGGGAAAGGATTTTTGCTTAATGATTTAAATGAGTAAATGGTTTCTATCTAAAACTAATAATATATAAAAGTTCTTCCTTTATATATCTTGAATTTTTAATCTTTTAATATAATTTTCTTAGTAAGTTAATTGTAGATTTGGAAACTAATAAAACTTTAAAACAAATTATCCTTATTAATTTTTGTTAATATGTTCATGTTTTTATTGTTTTGTAATTCCTTATTTATGAAATATTAAATGTATATATAAACTATTTTTATTTAGTTAATAAGTTTACTAAAACATTATTTTCCACAAATTATTTTAGCACTATTTTTTCTTTGTATTTATTGCTAATGGTCTCTCTCTACGTGTGTGTGCGCGTGTGCGTGTGAAAAAACTTAAGATTTCAATCTAGGAAAGAGTTTTTATTTCATAATTGAAATAAGAAAGTGATTTCTTTTTAATTCTGTTGTATGGCTTTATATCTTTTTTACAAAGAGTAATTTTTTACTTATGAATGATTTTTTATAGAATAATCCTACGTGCCTTCTTGTAGACAATAATTAAATATTTCTAAAAAAATAAAACAAGGTAGCAGATGAGATAGCATATGTCAAAATCAACCCTAAAAAGCAATTAAAATGAAAAGTTTGAAATTACAAAGCTGCCACTACAAATTAAAAAAAAAACTAAAAAGTAATTAAAAAAAATCTTAAAATGCAAAATAAAATATTGGACCTAATCCCATCGGTAAGACTGCTTCTCAATAGCCTGTTTTAAAGTGACTAGTCAAGTTTGGGGGCTTTTTCACCTTTTTACCCCTTATTAATTAATTAATAACCATTTTGCCCCTGATTCGAAACTATTTATCAATCTGCCCCTCTTTAGTCGACTACCTTGCATTTTTAATCGACTAAATGACCAAAACAGACAAAAAATGGCTGCTGGGAGATTTAGTCGACTAAATCTCCCTATTTAGTCGACTAAATCTTCATATTTTACAAAAAAAAAAATAAGTCAGTATGATTTTAATCGATTAAGTAGAGAGATTTAGTCGATTAAATCTCCCAACAACCGTTTAGTCGATTAAAAATGCAAGGTAGTCGATTAAAGAGGGGCAGATTGGTAGATAGTTTCGAATCAGGAGCAAAATGGTTATTAATTAATTAATAAAGGGCAAAAGGGTGAAAAAGCCCAAGTTTGGGCCTATTTCAAATTGGATCATCATAAATATTCATTCCAACAACATCATTTGTCACGATCCAAATCTGAGTGCATGATCGATGCACAGGCTAAATTTAACTATACCACTGGTTAGCTTAGTATGCGTAATTTTATTTATAGGCTCATTTTTTTTTTTCAGTAAATGCAGATAAGTTATCTGCATTGAGTCTAAAATGACATCGTTTTGAGACAAAAATTAATATATTTTTGTAATTGTAATTTATTTCAATGTTATAATAGTTTTTATCATTATAATTTTTTAAATCTTTTGACCCAAAACAACGTCATTTTGAGAGTAAATGTAGATAACTTATCTGTATTTACTGTAGAAACATTAAAACCTTTATTTATATATTTGAATTTATAAATTTACAATTAACCTACTTGTCAAAATAATGGAGTAACTCTAAAAGTAGTAACATATAAATTTTCTACACAAAATAAAATGTAAACCTTGCCCACATGAAATTATGTGTTGGGCTCACCTCTGACAATCAAATTGACTCCCACGATCAAATCGGAGGAGCAGAATACAAAAGGTAACTTTGTAATTGTACTTGCAAAAATATAATTAAGATTGGGGTGAGTTGCAATTCAACTCAATAAGTATAAGATCTATAACGAGCATAAGGTGGCAACATATAAAATAATATTTAATTCAAACAATAAATTTGAGAAATCGTCAATGGCCAAATCAATATATATAGATAACACAAATTAGTATCTTACCAAAATAACATACTAATGAAACCACATTGCAAGGTTGAAAAGTAAATTTTCAATCCAAACCAAATAATTCAAGAGATAGGTTATTTTACCTAATCTCACTTTGCCTACATTTGCCTACCCCTTTCAATACCGTTAGATTACAATCTCATCTAACGGTTTACATTTGCGAAATAAAATAAATTATTTTTTCTCATTCTTTCTCATCACTTTCTCTCTCCTCCCCTTTCTCTCTTCCTAGCTGGTGACGATGAAGATCGAAAATTCCGGTGATGCAAAAATCAATTCCTCCAAAAATAAAAACACATATTCGATAAAAAAAAACAAAAAAATAGAACATGATCGACACCATCAAACGTGATTATTTCTTAGGGTTCATAGAGATTTGTATAGATGAAGATGCACAAGCGCTAAAATCAAAAACACAATAATGAAAGATACAACGTGATTGAATGAAAGATACACAAGCGCTAAAATTCTTTTGATCAGATGAAATTGCAGATCAAGCTAGGGGTTCCTCATTCTCTCCAGAAATCTTTGGATATCGATAAAGCCAAATCTGTATTTCCCTAATGAGTATCCACATCCGTGGAAACTAGTGCCTCATTCATTTTTATTTTTTTTCATGTTGTTTTCTATACATGATTGATGTGGCTTTCAATATAAAATCATCTATTATAAATGAATTTATTTGAAAACTGTAATATTTCAATCTTTTATTGTACTGTAGTGTCCGATTAGATTTTGAATTTTCTAACTAAAACCTTAGTCATTTTTTCTCTCCTGGTTTATATTCTGTATTGAAGTTTATATCTGCTTGAAGTCTTGAACCAAAATATAGTTTTGGTGTTCTTAGATGCTAATGAACATGTATTGACCTGTGCTAACTGTGTTAAAAGATTTTTTTTTTATTAATTATGAGAAGGGGAAGTCAGCAAGGGTGCTTTCCAAGCTAGATGATTTAACAAATTCAGGAATTAAACCAAAATTCACATCATATGGACCGTTCCACGGCAGACATCAGCAATAAAGGGCAAAAATAAATAAATTAGGTATAGCGCAGAGAAAGAGAGAAATGGGAGGATAGAGAAAATGAGGAGAAAGAATGAGAAAAGGGGTTTATTTTATTTCGCAAATGTCAACCGTTGGATGAGATTGTAATCTAACGGTATTGAAAGTGGTAGGCAAATGTAGGCAAAGTGGGAGTAGGTAAAATAACCTATCCCATATTTCAAAACTAACACTTTATCAAATAATATGCTGATAAAATCAAACGACGAAGCTAAAAAAAAAAAAAATTGTCATATCCAAATTAGTATATGTATATAAATTGGAAAACTACACTTTGCTAAAATAATACATATAGTATATGCATATAAATTGGAAAACTACACTTTGCTAAAATAATACATATACGTTGAAGTGAGGTATTAGCAATTAGTGGCGGACCCAGGAATAATTTTTTATGTCCGCACGCCTCCGAATTCGAGGGCAGCGCCTCCGAATTCGAGGGCAGCGCCTCCGAATTTTTTTACAATCAATCTTCTCTTTTTATAAAAATGAAAAAGGAAACAAAGGATTGAGTACGTGACAGGGAAAAAAGATTAAGTTTTCTCTTTAATCAATTTGCGTTACTACATTATTTTAATCATCTCCGTACATTACTACGTTACTAACTAATATAAGAATAAATATTTTTTTTGGTCCCTAACAAAAAACTCGATTCACACTTTAGTCCATTATAAAAAAAATTAGTCACCTCATCCATATGAAATTCAAAGTGGATTCATTTTGATCTTTTTGAGGGATTAATGTAGGTCTTTTTTTAATTTATGAGGGATCACAATTTTAACTAAATTGATCCACTTTAAGATTTTTAGGGACCTCGAGACTTTTTTTTTTTTGTAAATGACTAAAATGGAGACCATATTTTTTGTTAGGGACTTAAAAGAGTATTTACTCTTAATATATATATTGAACCAAGTGACAAATAAGTACCAACAACTAAAAAAAAAAATTTGAAGTAAAAATTCTTATGACCGCACTTGCGGGCATTTGCCCGCAAGTGGGTCCGCCGGTGTTAGCAATGATGCACGGACACGGGACACGACACGACACCCCGACACGTTAATTCTAAAAAATGTTAAATTTATTTTGACACTTAGGGACACGTTTTGATATTAAATAATATTTTTAATATATATAATATAGTTTACATTTAATACATATAGCAACTCATAATAACTCATATACTAATTAAATATTCAAATTTCATAACATAATTATTAAAAAAAATAGAACATTCCAAGAGTATAGAGTGTAGGAAAATAGAAAAATTATTTTACTTATGATTACACACACTTCAATTACGTATATATATTCTTTAAGAAAAACCTTTGATTACAAATTAATTAAAATAAAAAAAATAAGACAAGGGAAACTAATAAGCATATTATTATTTAATTAGTTTTTGAACTAACTACAGTTAGTAGTAACCTTGTTTAGTGATGTAACTATAGTTAGATTGATAGGTGGCAGACTTACTTTATCTTCTGCATCTCTGTATTGCTTTCTTTTAAGAAAACGTGATGTAGGACTTTGTAGATTTTTGAATCAATAGAAAATTTGTTCAGTTCTTGTTTCTGATTATTTAGTTATAAGAGAAACCCGACATGAAGAAGATGGCAGTTCTTGTTCAGTTCTTCCTCGGTACCTCTCTCTCTTCCTCTTCCATTTCACTTTCATTTTCTCCTCTCCGTCTTCAACATGAAGAAGCAGATCGAACCCGACGACAAAGAGAAGACCAGAAGCCGACG